CCCGCCACCCCGACCCCCTGAGCCCAAACCTGCCCCACACCGCCCTTTGTGGCACCCCCCGCTCCCAGTGAGTGGAGAAGTGCCTGAAGTGTATGAACCAATGCACTGGAGTGCAGAGAAGCAGAGGACTCACCGGCCAAGCCCCTCGACCCCGAAGCTCCTGGGGCTGCGTTGTGTACTGTCCCTTGACCAGGATGAGCGACATCCGTTAACGATCCTCCAACCGGGGAGCCAACCCGGTGCCCGGCCACATCAGATGCGGAGCGGCTCCGAGATCTGTAACGAGGAGAAGAAGTCCTGGGCAGAGCATACTGGTCATGAGCAGCCCCCCCGTCCCGACCTTGAGAGCGCTGGACACCAGAGCCTCCCGTCGCGCAACCACTCCTTTTCGCCCACCCAAGGCCCGATCGGCCCTGCCTCTGGGACTACGACTCCTCCCGTTTCTACCAGAGGCCCGCCCCGTGTAACCAGCCTGGGGGCCATGACACTCTCCCCCCCTGAGCTACTAGATGAGGACCTAACACGCCGAGCCCTTCCCTTAAACCCCCCGGACCCCCGGGCCCTAACCGGTGACGGGCTGCTATCACCTGACCCCAAACCTGAACCCCCCCCAGAACTACGCCCACCTAGCTGCTCACCAGCGCAGGGAAATCCCCACCCCCCACCCCGGCGGGCCCCCCGACTAGAAGCACCCCCTCCCCTCGGTACCTCCAGCCGGTCCCCAGACCCCGCACCCCTAACCTGTCCTGAACGCCCTGCGCACCTCGACCTCCTGCCCCCCCCTGATGGCAAACTTCCCCCTGCCGTACCCCCTGGCCCTTCCACCCTCCCGGCTACTGGCCCTCGCTCCAAGCCCACTACCCTGAAACTACCCTGCGCACCCTCCCCCCTAGACCTCCCTGCCCCCGCTCTAGCAGGCACCTGACCCCTCCCCACGTCCCCCCCAGGACTCTGAACCCTGTGCCCAGTCCTCCTGCGCTGATTCACGCCAAGGGGGTCCCGGCCGGAACCCCCTGCACTTGCCTGTTCCAGGGGCGGTCCGTGAGCTCCTTCCGCACCGGCCCCGCCAGTCCCCGCCATGGGTGTAGTAGATGCCCTCCCGGGCTGCAATCCCGCGTCCTCACCGGTTCCAGGGGGCCGCCCGATGTCTCCCGCGGCCCCCGCTCCAGGCGCAGCCCTCCCCGCACTGGGAGCTGCACCGTCCGACTCCCGGGTAGCCTCCCGCCGGCTACCGCTTCTCCGACGTCCCGGTAACGCGCCGGGAGGCGGAGCCTCAACCATGCGGCTACCGGATCCGTTTCGGCCTGGTCCCGCCGCCGCCCGGCCGCTGGAACCGTCTCCACCGGACTCCGCGCCTGGGCTCAGGCGTCTCGGCGGCCTCCGAGCCCGCACAGGCCGACCTCCGCCGCCCTCATGATCCGCAGCACCCGCCAGGGCTGGTCCAAGTTGCGCCCGCAGCCAGTCCACGCCACGTCCTTGAGCCGCCAACCGGATCCGCTCCAACAGCTCCTCCATGTTATCCTTCGACCCTGCAGAAGGGGAGAAAAACAAAGACCCCACCAAACCAAATCTGTGGACACAGGAGTGCACACAAACTCAGCAAGGTAGTAATTAAAAGTGAAGGCTTTAAAATGGCTGCCTATTTAAATAGCCAAGCCTACTTACCCATAACTCCCTACTTCCTTCCCTCCTCCTATGCCCGCCTCCTAACCCCTGTCAAGGCCTTTTTTCGCTTAGCTGCGCTTTGGCTACATGGGGCTACACGATAAGTACACGTTTTATTCCATGTCACTTTATTCCTGCATCAGTGATTGGCAGAAAGTTTGCTGCTATCTGCCAAAGCACAGCAGGGTTCCAAATTCTGTCACGCTATCTGTCCCTTTCCAATACAGAGCACACAAATCAAAAGGAGGGAAAATCAAGGAATATTGTAAAAACAGCACTTTGGGCTCTTTGTTTTATTGGTTAATTAGCTGCAATTTGCATAATTAAACCTATGTTTTTCTGGCACAGGGCTAGACCCTTGGGTGGTTTTGAAATACATGTCCAATTACAGACTGACAATTAGTAACTGAGGGAGATGCTTGTTCTAGAATAGAGCTATCTGTATTCATCCTGTTTAGCATCGCAGTACAGGTAAGTTGTCCTACAAAGGTTACAGGTGCATTCAGTACACACATTAGGACATAGCTGTTAGGACATTTTATCTGCCATTTCATACTTTATTGATATAGAAAAAGAATCAAATTATACCGTTTTTTGTACAGTAAGAGCAGTTAGAAAGTGGGATTTACTATGAATTTGGTTTTAACACTTTCGTTCTTGGCATTTAATCAGATGTAATATTTTCATTGCAAACGAGTCTGCGCAAGGTTTTATTACATTCAGCACGTAGTAAGGAATAATAGACAGCGCGGGAAGATTAACCTCTAAACTAAAAACAAAAAACCCAATAATTAACATTTTTTAAAACAGTTACAAAAACATATTAACACCTGCCAAGAATGGGGTACATTGACGTTGTGACAGGCTTATGCAATGTATGATAATATACTGTAACTAAATCCCATTATTTCACCTCATTCAGGTATTTTTAATAATTAGTCAATTTTGAGAGCTTTGAACTTGGTGTTTAGTAAATGAGTGAGTGTGTATATTGAATTAATTGGTCTCAGCAACATCCTTATAATGTATGCATGATCAGGTGAACACAGCCCTCTTAAATTTCATATGGATATACACTATATGGACAAAATATTGGGACACCTGGCCATTACACCAGCAAGGCCTCTTATGAGATCACACTCTGAATACAGAAACATTAATATGTAGTTGGTCTCCCTTGCAGCTATAACAGGTTCCACTTTCCTGGAAAGGCTTTCCACAAGATTTCGGAGTGTTTCTGTGGAAATCTTTGTCCATTTGTGCTGCCGAGCACTTGTGAGGTCAGGCACTGATGTTGCCTTTCTCATAATCTCCATTCTAGTTCATCCCAAAGGTGTTTGATGGGGTTGAGGCTCTGTGGAGCAGTAAAGTTCTTCCACACCAAACTCATCCAACCATGTCTTTGTGGACCTTGCTTTGTCCACTGGGACACAGTCATACTGTAATAGAAAACGGTCTTCCCAAAACGGTCCACACAAAGTTAGAAGCATAACATTGTCCAAAATGTCTTGGTATACCTTCACTGGAAGCTTGGAAACCTAGCCCAACCCTGAGACACAGCCCACTATCCCTCCTCCACTGAACTCACAGTTGGCACAATGCATTCATAGAAAATCTGTGGGGTGAATTGAAGAGGAAAGTCCACCAGCCTCCACCTTGGAATTTGAAGGATCTAAAGAGATTCTATATGGAGGAATGGTCTCCGGTCCATTGCCATGTATTCTCAGCCATTATAGGAGAAGACTCAGAGCTGTTATCGTAGCAACTTGAGGCAGGGTAGTGCTGACTAAAAGAGTACCAATAATTGTGCCACACACAATGATGTCTGATGTCATGCCGCAATACCCCCTACATGTGCATGCGCCGTACCCAGGCTCCAGAACATCAGAAAACTCCCCTACCACCCTCCAGCTGTATTGGCTTACTTCTGGTACGGCAGAAATTCTGTGAGGGAATTTTCACGAGGTAAGGGAATCTGATAGAACACTGGTTCACCAGTTGTCCTTCCTTGCTTTACTTTTGGTAGGTACTAACCACTACATACCAGGAACACCCCACAATACTTGCCGTTTTGGAGATGCTCTGACCCAATTCTCTACCATCACTATTTGGTTCTTGTCAAAGTTATTAGATCTTTTCGTTTCCCATTTTTCCTGCTCCAAACACATGAAATTTAAGAACTGACTGTTCACTTGCTGCCTAAGGTATCCTTAGCCCTTGACAAGTGCCATTGTAACGATATAATCAACGTTATTCACTTCAGTGGGATTAATGCCGTGGCTGATAAGTGTGTATAAAAAAATAAAATAAAAAACACTCTTACACAATTAATAAGTATTATCTTACGTGTTGCCATTAGGTCTGCGCTATATCCCAGGAGGATGTCATCTGTAATCAGCTACCTGTTGCGGACAATACTCTGTTCACATCGATAAGATAAAATATTCCCGTCTATTTTACACTCTTTCCCAATTTTGTGAACAAACAAACCATTCTAATCATTTAAATTGAGAACAATAACCTTCCTTTGCTGTTGGTATCCTAATTTTCTTTAACGGGCTGTGCGGACTCTGGGATTCATTTGTTTGGGACAGAGGAGATCTAATTACTTACATTGTGGTTATAAAGTATCTTGACTGATAAGAGAAAAGATTAGTCCGTGACCGTCAATCAGACTTGGCTCTTCATTCACCTTGTTACAGGTGATAATGTAACCTTTTATCTACCTTTAAGACATCTGTCTTCAAGCTGGATCTATTGGCATATGCACGCTGGAACTAGACTCCAGTTACTTAAAGCTAATTATTCCTCAGTCGCAAGTTGTTTGTGTGGCGAAAGTAACCATGCCACTGGGTTTTGGAGAGGCCTGCTTGCCAGACTCTTGCCCTGTGACTATGGTCCTTGGGGTGTGTGAAGAAAACCCCTGTTTTATGGACTTAGTTCGACTGTTTTATTCCCCCTCCCCCCAGAACACCAGTAAAACCATTAATACCTTGTTACACTGTCTGACCCAATAACTGTCATATTCAATCACCGTCTGACCCAATAACTGTCATATTCATTCACCGTCTGACCCAATAACTGTTACATTCATACACGGTCTGACCCAACAACTGTCATATTCAAACACCTTCTGACCCAATAACTGTCATATTCATACACTGTCTGACCCAATAACTGTCACATTAATACACCGTCTGACCCAATAACTGTCACATTCATACAGCGTCTGACCCAATAACTGTCACATTCATACACTGTCTGACCCAATAACTGTCACATTCATACACCGTCTGACCCAATAACTGTCACATTCATACACTGTCTGACCCAATAACTGTCACATTCATACACCGTCTGACCCAATAACTGTCACATTCATACACTGTCTGACCCAATAACTGTCACATTCATACACTGTCTGACCCAACAACTGCCATATTCAAACACTGTCTGACCCAATAACTGCCATATTCAAACACCGTCTGACCCAATAACTGTCACATTCATACACTGTCTGACCCAATAACTGTCACATTCAAACACTGTCTGACCCAATAACTGTCACATTCAAACACTGTCTGACCCAAAACTGTCACATTCATACACTGTCGGACCCAATAACTGTCACATTCAAACACCGTCTGACCCAATAACTGTCACATTTATACACCGTCTGACCCAATAACTGTCATATTCATACACTGTCTGACCCAATAACTGTCACATTGAAACACTGTCTGACCCAATAACTGTCACATTCATACACCGTCTGACCCAATAACGGTCACATTCAAACACCGTCTGACCCAACTGTCACATTCATACACCGTCTGACCCATTCATACACCGTCTGACCCAATAACTGTCATCACATTCAAACACCGTCTGACCCAATAACTGTCACATTCATACACTGTCTGACCCAATAACTGTCACATTCAACACCGTCTGACCCAATAACTGTCACATTCATACACCGTCTGACCCAATAACTGTCATATTCATACACTGTCTGACCCAATAACTGTCACATTCAAACACTGTCTGACCCAATAACTGTCACATTCATACACTGTCTGACCCAATAACTGTCACATTTATACACCGTCTGACCCAATAACTGTCACATTCATACACCGTCTGACCCAATAACTGTCACATTCATACACCGTCTGACCCAATAACTGTCACGTTCAATCACTGTCTGATCCAATAACTGTCATATTCATACACTGTCTGACCCAATAACTGTCACATTCATACACCGTCTGACCCAATAACTGTCACATTCATACACCGTCTGACCCAATAACTGTCACATTCATACACCGTCTGACCCAATAACTGTCACATTCATACACCGTCTGACCCAATAACTGTCATATTCAAACACTGTCTGACCCAACAACTGTCACATTCATACACTGTCTGTCTGACTGTCCGACCCAATAACTGTCACATTCATACACCGTCTGACCCAATAACTGTCACATTCATACACATCTGACCCAATAACTGTCACATTCATACACCGTCTGACCCAATAACTGTCACATTCATACACCGTCTGACCCAATAACTGTCACACTTCACTGTCATTCACCGTCTGACCCAATAACTGTCACATTCAAACACCGTCTGACCCAATAACTGTCACATTCATACACTGTCTGACCCAATAACTGCCATATTCAAACACCGTCTGACCCAATAACTGTCACATTCAAACACCATCTGACCCAATAACTGTCATATTCAAACACTGTCTGACCCAACAACTGTCACATTCATACACTGTCTGACCCAATAACTGTCACATTCATACACTGTCTGACCCAATAACTGCCATATTCAAACACCGTCTGACCCAATAACTGTCACATTCAAACACCGTCTGACCCAATAACTGTCATATTCAAACACTGTCTGACCCAACAACTGTCACATTCATACACCGTCTGACCCAATAACTGTCACATTCATACACCGTCTGACCCAATAACTGTCACATTCATACACCGTCTGACCCAACAACTGTCACATTCATACACTGTCTGACCCAATAACTGTCATATTCACTGTCCGACCCAATAACTGTCACATTCATACACCGTCTGACCCAATAACTGTCACATTCATACACCGTCTGACCCAATAACTGTCACATTCATACACCGTCTGACCCAACAACTGTCACATCCATACACTGTCTGACTCAATAACTGTCACATTCATACACTGTCTGACCCAATAACGGTCACATTCATACACCGTCTGACCCAATAACTGTCACAATCATACACTGTCTGACCCAATAACTGTCACATTCATACACCGTCTGACCCAATAACTGTCACTATTAGTGTTGGGTGAGAAGGTTTTAACTAGCAGTGTTGCTTGAGAAGTGTGACAAGACCAATCTCGCCACTGTGCATTGGAGGAGCCTGGTTGCCTGCCTGCTGCCTTTTGACTATGGACCGGCATTTAAATACTTTATTTTCCTATGCAGAAAGGTCTATTCATGTATTTCTGCCCTGGCATTCGGTAGATTCTCGGATTTACTGAATGAACTCATTTAACCCAGATAGCTATGCCATGGAGCCTATTCGTGTAATAAAAGACTTTGGCTCCATGGCGATTGAACTGTATGTGGGTGTGGTCTGAGCACCATTCAGTAATAATGTCCGCTCAGAGCTAAGCTATCTGGGGATATGTTGCATGTCTGTATTTTATGTTGTTACGATTGCCCCCGGTCTAGCAGGGGGGTTGATCGCTTGGATGTCCTGGTTCCCGCTGCAGAGAGTCGAACGGAGGTCTTTCGGTAGTCGGCTGTAAGTGTAGAATATCCCCAAGCACGATATAAGCATCAATATCCCGGATCCCTACAACATGAGTCGAGGCTGCAAGTTGAGGGTCAAAACGAACTGGCTTTACTGGCACATAGCATGGCAATTTATGTGATTCCTCAGGTCCAAGGACAGCCCCCTGTGGACCTGATGGAATACAGGTACAGTGCAAACAGGTAACCAATCACAGTACACTGTATTATTTGAATTAGTACCCGCCTAGCTTGGAGATAATGAGGCCAACGGTTTTACAATCTAATTATCTCCAAGCGCACAAAAGACCACGTTTTATTATGTCCCAGAAAACTACATCAAAATCCATAACTTGTACATTATTACAGGAAAACCATTCATTCCACCATTCATTTGAAGGCTTGCGTTCGTATAGATAAACCAGGCGAATGCCGCTCTAATCCCACGAACAGAATGTACTGTTTCTGCCGTATAAAGTCCGTTCGGCATTTCGAGATGGTTAGTCTTTGTTGGCGGCCATGTTTTCTGCTGGTTTAGCGAGCAGCGGGACTTCGTGTCTAACTCGTGGAACTAAACTCGGTATCAGTTCCTGCGAAGTCCCGCTGTCGGGCTGGTAGTGGGCTCGTTCGGTAAGGGAATGAGGACCACCTGGGAGCAGGGTACTTGACCTGCGGTTAACCGCAGAAACCACAGTTAATGAGCGCCACGCGACCCGCTGTAGGGGGTCGTCGTTCGGTGGATCGTTCGGTATTTTCCCTTCGGCACTTTGGGTGCGAACGTCGATGCCCCCGGGCCTACCAATTACATTGTGGTTAACCGCAAACCGCAGCCATCTGGGTGGTTAATGGCTACCACACTCCGCGAGCCGGGGGGGGGCGCCCGTTCGGTAGTTTGCGGGGTGACGGGGTTAAGTGGCGGCACACGCCAGTTTCTGGGGGGTCCCCCGTTCGTACCACGAATGGAGCCTCCCTAAGGGTTCGTGTAATCCATTCGTGTGGTTTTCTGTTTAACTTATGTAGTGGCAAACAGTATCAATCAGTGAGTAAAAACAGCAACATGGTGATTTCCAGTCTTTTGTAACAATGCTCCCTCTTTGTGGAACACTCTGGCAGACACTGTCTGACCCCTTTTCGGGGCAGACTAAGGCTGTCCAGACTCGTGGGGTTATGCTGGGCTGAGATCTGTTTGCCGGGATAATCCGTCGGCGTTGCCGTTCTGCTTCCCAGGTCGGTAGGTGATTGTAAAATTAAAGGGTTGCAGGGATAAGCTCCAGCGTAACAATCTGCCATTGTCCCCAGCGACCCGGTTGAGCCACACTAGCGGGTTATGGTCTGTAACCAGAGTGAACTCTTGTCCATACAAATAGGGGGTTAACTTCTTTAATGCCCACACCAGAGCCAAACACTCCTTTTCTACCGCGGCATAGCTGACTTCGCGTGGTAGGAGTTTTCGACTGATGTAGGCAATCGGGTGTTCCTTCCCATCATCTCCTACTTGGCTGAGGACAGCTCCCAGCCCGAACATGGAAGCGTCTGTGTGGACAATAAAACGTCGATTAGGGGCTGGGGCAGCCAAGACAGGAGCATTAATCAACGCAGTTTTGAGGGCTTGGAAAGCCGTTTCACAGTGGGGAGACCACAGGACCTGTCGGGGGAGGTTTTTCTT